ACCGAAAGTCAACAAATTATCGAAAATCGCTAACATCGAATTATCGATATCGAAAATCACATTAAACATCGAAAAATTATAAATATATTTAGGCCTTAATGGAATCCCTCCCTTACCGATTCTTTACTTTTTAAGCATCTACAATATTTAATACAACAAATACAAGCGATGATTCGATTCGCGTCCAATTAAATTACATCTACAATCACGTGACAAGGTTACCTTGGAATCAACCATATTACTGTGCACGATGCGCTTAAAAAACTACTTTGAATATTCGAAAATTTTATTAATTCACAAAGAGGATACTCTATTTTTTTCTTTACGGGTGAACTCAAGGAGTCCGTTAAATTAACAGAATTTTGCAATACAAACAAAATCGAAAACTTGTGCAATTTGTTCGATTTATTTAGCAAGTTCCTTATTCTAGATTTCTTACATAATCTCTACATAATCTCTTGTTATTATAAGACTATCACCTCAAGTTCTCAACTCGATCTTATTACTATTAAGACTGGCAATTCATTATCATTCTATCATGATTCTGTTGATTATTCGGTTGATGGAGAATTCTTGGATGAGATAGAAGTGATGGAATATTATTTTCTATTGACTAAACATTTGAAAAAAAAAAACATTAAAAACAACTTTTAATATTTGGATTTATCATTAAACTTAAACTTGCCACTCTCAAACGGCCTTCATAGAACAACTGCCCTATTTTTTTTTTTGTGAATTTGGGGAGATTAACAAAGATATGACACAATAAACCTTTTCGGAATATTAACGAGTTGAACGCTTCAGCCAACTATAGTATAGAGATCTTCTTGATATACTCCAAATTAAGTAAACAAATTTGACGCGAATTTTCGTTATTCATCAAGCCCCAATTTCTAATTCAAAGATAATTTTTATATTTCGATGGACTAAGACTACGATAAGGTCATGAAATAAAGACGACATCGCAATCAAAAATAATCCATCAGTCACTACGTATCATCAATTCTCGTTTAATTGGAGGAGAGAAATCGTTGTTAATGATGAGAATGATGTGGTTTGAACAAGACAATGATTGTTACAAACAATAAATTAAATTTCAACCCGATTCCTTCAGAGGTAATGCTTGGTTCTCCAATGACCCGGAAGGCGATTTAATATTCGATACATTTGTTGTTATCGTTATATAAGATAAAAAAGGGCCTTCTCCAGAGATAAAATGTAAAATATCTGATGAGAATAACGCAAAAAACCCTGAGGATAAAATGCAAATTCGAATTGAAATCATGTTGGTAACCTGAAAAGATCAAGCATTATTTGATGTAATCGCATCGCTTGTCAACGGCATCAACTTCGTGTACGTCAGTAAAAGTGGATGCTCATCAGAAGTGGGATACTAAAGATGACTTTATTTTTTTTGGATTCAAGTGAAGATAATGTTATGTTAATATATATGCTATGCTACCTAATTCCTTTATCATCCCATACGTTGAAGCGTTATGGAATTCGCTATGCTATAATTTTTATTCTTTGTTCATTTTACGTAAACAGTAAATTGAGTTTTCATACCTCTCTCCCGTAATCACCCTGCAGGTAGATACTGCGGCAAAGGAATGCCCGCAGGCATCTTGTACTCTGGTGAAAAAAAATAGGTACTACATCGATGACATTACCTTAGGAAGGAGCCAACAAGTATGGTTCAAAATTTTCACCATTGAGGAAAATAATAAATATTTTTGAGGCTGCAACATTAATGCATAAATGATCAATCCATATTAATAAATGAGATATAAAAATGGAAGTATCTTCCTTACTTGATTAAGCTGAATGATGATTGAGGTTACGTACCTTCCCCATCAAATGACCCCGATCAGTTACGCATTTACCGGTTATACCTTATTTAAGAGTCCAAACCTTTACCATTTATTTCGAAGCGATTCAGAGAATCAAAAATGGACTAGCTCAGCCTAAGGGTCATTCTAAAACCAAATATTACAAAGTGTTCGATTCATCGATTATAGACCATTCTTCATAACCGAACGAAACTCGTGGGAGCTCGTGTTAATGACCAAATAATAAATGGTTCAAATGTTTCAGGAAAAAAAAATACACGGGGCAATTCTTAATTGTATAAGCTGGGATCTCTTTAAACACGTATTATATATGTATATGTATATGTATATGTATTTTTTTTATTTGTTATACGATGGTGTTGTATTCACAATTAAATGGTAAATGAACAAAAAGGGAACTTTCAGAATACAAATTTCGTCAAGTTGCATAAAGCAATGGTCCGATCATTAATTAAAAAGGAAGTATTAATAGAATTTTATCGTTATTAATTTATTATTATTTTTTTTTTTATTTTTTTCCTCGTGTCTTTGTCGCGACTGTCATCCTTGCATGAGAAAGTAACGAATGTAATACGGCGTTCCTTCATTTAATCAGGTATTATTATTATTAGAAAAATGCGGTCTAAAACCATCAAAAAAAAAAAAAAAATGACTCACCAGAGTTTATTTATATAAAGCTTAGTGTAAAAAAACCATAAGTTTATATTGAACAAATAACGCGTTGATCGACGCTGTGTAATTTTGCGTCATAATTTGTTGCGCATGTACAATGTAGTGATTAGTAATTTTCGCGATATGAACGATCTTCAGCAATTACTAAAAGATAAGACGATTTGAAGTTCAGTAGGCTAATAATTAAATCAGAGATAACCTCGCAAAAGAGAAAATGTATTACATCATAATTTCATAAGCAATCTACAAGCAATCCATAAGCAACAAACTCTCCATTTTGACCGCTTGAAAAGTCGAAACTCATCATTACCAAATCTTGTTTCATTCAATGATGGAAATAACATTTGCCGTGTGAACGTATCAGATTGACACACCATAATGATCAGGGCATCAAAGGAACCTATTACATTGCGTCAAAGATATTTGAGGTAAATTTTGATAAATTTTTTTTAAATTTTTTAAATTTTCAAAGGCTTGGCCCACATGTGGACCATCACGTGATAGAGCATATCACACCATATAGTTGTAATTTCATATTACCAACCAAATTGTAAAATGAAGACATTCACTTATTTAGTTAGATTCTTGAAATTACGTATTGTTTACATTATAAAAGGAAAAAAAAATTTTTTTTTTTTTGTTTTGTCATCCAAAGGAGAACGTTTATTAAAAATGAGCTAACATCGATATGGTGATATTTCGCATGAACAAAATTTAAATTGCCCCATCAAACCACTTTTTTTTTTGCGTCATGCAGAAGATTGGATACAATCCTTACTAAAATGGAAAACCGAATTATAATTTTTTTTATTGAAGATGTGGTTCGAGATAGATCTAGAAATAAATAAATGATTTTTTGGATCTACAAAGCGTTCATCACCATGCTATTAATGGTTTAAAAAGATCTTGTTTCTGGGTGCACAATGATGAATTGGGAAATTCCTTTCAATTTATTTTTTTTTCATCTAAAAAAAAAAAACAACACCACCTAATCATATCACCTGTTAAAATATTTATGGTAAATAAAAAAAAAAAAAATCTTCCCATTTTCTTTTTTTACGCCTGTTTAGAATTTTAGACGAAAAATACATACATATATATATACACGAAAATATTGAAATCCTTATTGAAACCATTAAAAATATTGACTATTGATTGATTATAGGGAATATAACAACTGGCCTGGACATCTCTATGGGACCTTTTTTTCCTCCATTAAATTTCGATCCCTGCAATTAATCCTGTTACCGACAATGCGGACGGATCATCATTACCTTCCTTGGTTTAGGCAAATTGTCGAGAATTCTTTTGGTGGGAACGGAATTCTTGATCGGCACCGAGATGACCGGCAAAATATAAGTTTATTTACGTCAGTGGAGTTTTCCGGTGACATAATATTTCCCAAACAATAATAATAGTACAATAAATGCATTGAAAAACCAATTTTTTCATGTGTGTTACCGTGTCACACAACTTTAATGTGAATAGAGGAAGAGGTCTAGAATCCTCCAACTTGTTGTTCTAATGTAATATATATTTTGTGTTTGATGAAATTTTAATTTTGTAACGAGATTAAGGGTTTCACTGCGACCGCATGCGAGGCGATGAAAATTATCAAACAAAGACATGAACAACCCATTCTTTATCTAATGTGGTATATCTCTTTTCTTTCTTTCCTTTTTTTTTTTTTTAAAAAAAAAAAAAAAAAAATATCAAAAAAATCAAAAAAATCAAGAATCAGGGATTTTCCAGATAAGGTTTCTTTTGAAGGCATTGTCCCCCCAGATGGTACTTGCGTTCAAAAATCGTTTTGGTTATAAAATGAAATCATCGTAACCTTTAAATAGAAGATTCTTCGTCATATCTGTTGATTTCATGAGCATTGTTTAAAAAAAAAATGAATGAATGAGAAATAATAACAGTTGGGTACTTTAATTTAACAATGCTCCACTTGAACTTTTTCCTTATTTATTTTAGTTCGTAGAAAGATACTACCAACAATAAACCAAAATATTTTCATATTATAAATTATTATTATCATATTATAAATATATATTTTTGTTATTATTTTTTTTTATTATTATTCAATGATACTTTGTATAATTTATATAAATTTATATGTAGTTTTATAAAATTTTATGATATCAAGCCACATGAGGATTTATTTATAATTGGTTTAGTGTGAGGATCGGCTGTTTCACTGTCATTCTATTTACATTCTATTTTATAATATGATATAATGTAACATAGTATGAATGATTTTATGTTGTATTACATTACGTATCATATCCTTTTGATATATTGTATAAATATTGTGTTATTGTATAAATATGCACTGTTTTACATCCGGAAATAAAAAAAAAATTTTCAAAAAAAAAATAAAAAATAAAAATAATCAAAATTTTCAAAATCGTATTCAAAAAAGAAAATCATTTTCTCAAGAGACATTCTACATCATTTAAAAAATTTTTCAAAAGTATGTCTACAGCAACACATCACTGTCTTGGTAAAAAGTCATCGATTCCTTACATTCACTCAAATCACAAGTCCACGACATCATTATACCAACAACCAACGGAATCGATGATTGAGGCCGCAAAGATTGATTACGCTACCCGTCTTTTCATCTACACTCGACAACAACTTCAACAAGTATCCTCCTTAACTTCTAAAGGTCAAGAAAATAAAAGTAAAAAGTTTACGCGAAATGGGGTGAAGGAATATAATGAAATTCGTGGCAGGAAGCGAAACGAAATTGGTGACTAACCTGTATTGAATAAGACTGGCATCGATAAATACAAGTGAATCATATGATAATAGAAATTCATGAATTACCACCACAACAAAAAAAAAAAAATTTATTAATTTTTTTACGTTTAGTCCACCTTTTTTTTTTGAAGTATAGCTCAATTTTTTATCAAAATAATAATCTCTTTTTTTTTTTCTTTTTTTTTTTTTGCTCGTTATCCTATCAGTATTCACTTATCGATCTTATCAATAAGTTACCTTGTCATTCTAAAATTATGAGTTTTAATATGGTTGTATTGTTTATATACACACTAATTCACGGACTCTTTGTATAATAATTATGGGGATATATATTTGGTCAAGCATCTTTTGCTTTTTTTCCTTTGTACTTAATCGCTCCTTTATTAATAAAATGTTGTAGAACTAACTAAAAATAAATATAACAAAAAAATAATAATAATAATCCTGCGTGATTTTTATTATTTTTTATTTATATAAATAATGTGCCTGTCCTAGAAGGATACGAGCGAAACAATCGTGCAACGTGGCGCATTCGTTTGTTGTAATTATTTGCTCATGTGATCCCCCTATTTTACTGTTCCCACGATCTAAAAGGGCGTAAAAAGTCACAAACAATGGAATTAACCAATTCATCATAAACGCCGAAAAATGTCATGAGGCTTTATATACAATGTCCTTTCAAAGATTGTCCTTGTAAATTTTAAAGGTTAAATTTAGAAGTTTTTCAATGGTTGGATCGCACAATTACACAACTGCGACCGCGCTACGCCCGGCTATTGGTGTTTGCTGTGCCACAAATGTCAATAAATGAGCGAAGCACCATTTTTTTATCCACATGATTTTCGGTAAAGTGGCTTAAAATGTTCGCTGTCTTTTTGATTACTTTTTTTGAAGGGGTGAGGGGAACTTTGGATGAATTCATGTTTATCGATCGATGATTTAAGAAATATTCAAGCCCCCCTCCCTCTGGGTTGTGAAATTCACTTTGAATAAACAAGGTTAAGCTCTTTTGAACCTGACAGTGATTGGTGGATGTGTTTTAACTTTGGTCCGCATTTGTTTAGCGCAAATCATGTAAGTGTAGATCTGAGATTACTTAAGTCAACACAAACATTATTATGCAATTACACAAAATAATGATCACTTTCCGGCACGTGTGGTGCGAATCTAGCATCTCTTTAAGCATTCCTCATGTCAATCGATCATTTTTGTCTCTTACCCCTACGACTTTTCAGGTTTAACCCTCCTTCATTGTGTGGTCGTAAAAAGGGGAGGATTTCATCCGGTTGAAAATGAAATTATAGCGTTCAAACGTTGATTTTATCCTAATGGACTCCTCAGTGTTTAGATCCATTTTTTTTCCGTATGAGGATGTCCAATCTTTTCGCGTTTCGTTCGAAAAATCAAATACTTTATAAATGGTGAACCGATGAAAACTCAGGTTTGATGATGATTGGTTGGAATCGTTTATGGTAATTTAAAGGGGCACTAAAATGATCTTCATTCGCCCAACGATTTAAATTGTTCAAATAAGTAAAGTAGGGTATATTTCTTTAGGTTAGCGTTGGTGGATTTTGGTAGTTGCCAAAGATCTTTGATTCAAGTCACAGTGTTCGATACACCTAAAACCGAACTTGAAAAAAAAGGAATGTAGCACGTAAATCGTGTCATACCTTAAGTTATATGATTACGCAATTACACAAAACAAGGCGTCATTTATATTATGAATAAATTTCACGTGAGCACGAACCGGGATTTTGAAGGGCTCTGGGTCCCTTAAATGATAATAAGATGGATAATTTGATGATATCTTTGATAAAAGGTCATCTGTCAATGAAGCAATGGCGTAAAAAAATTAAAGAGATTTCCTATAATCATTAACTTAATATTTTTAAAGTAAGTGTGAGATGACATAAATGAACTATAATTACATTTAAAAAAAATAAATAATTACGCAAACCGCACAAAGAAACGCAATCATTGCGTATTCGAACCCTTTTTTAAGTCATTTATTTGTCAATAAAATAAATAAATATTCGGAATTCGTGTACCATATTAGACCTAAAATATCTTTTAGCTTTGTTTGTTTTTAGCAAGATGGGCACAGATCGAGAATTTGACGTTAGTTTGAACATTGGAAACCTAACGTTAGAAGATCAAACATGACCCCTTTCATTTCGACGTTGTTCAATATGCGCAAATAATACAAGCCATGGATGGTTTCGGTAAGAGAGGTTATATTTGGTGGCACCAGCCACACGAAGGAGATCAGAGGATACTGCGGCACAAACATAAATTTTCCTGGCATCCTTATGTAACAGCAGAATATCTCGTCACATATTTCTAAGATCGCAATATCAATGTAACTTTATTAATTGCCAGATGCTCCATCCCAAACAAAGCCTGTATTAAACGTCGATAGGATTTGATCCTATAAAGTCCACTTGCACAAATTACATTTAAAAATTACTTGTTATAACCATACTAGATTCACGTTCTGTGAGAAAAAAAAAGATGTCTTGCATAAAACTCCTTTTTTTTTGATCATTAACGGCGCCCGATCTTCAGAAGTGTAGATATTTTCGGTCCATTTATTATCATTACCCGAAGAATCTTCGATCTTGCGGAGAGGTAAGGCTTGATAAGCTGTCATATAATGAGAAGAATTTATAGAATTTGAGATATTCTTAATTAAATCATCGAGATTATTAAAAACGATTATTGATAAATTAATTTTGAATGGTTGATTAGGAATTCCTAATGAGTGTGTGTTTAATGTTTTCACACATGATGATTTTGATTGGTTGAAATATAACTAATATCATTATTTAATGTATTGTACTGTGCATTGATAAAGATATTATAGGCGAGGTTATTGGATAAAAAATATGCTGACGAAATTCGCGCGTTCAATTTATCTAAGGAACGAAAAAAAAAGATCAACACGCTTGTATACCATATTTAGCCTGTATCCATTATTTGGGATTGGTGACAAATTATTTTAAATTATTTCATAAAAATAAAAATAAATGAAAGTTATAAAAAAAAAAAATTGAAATTATACATTGAAAAATCTATTGTTCCTGTTCTTCGAAGTACGGGTGGACGGGTTGGATTAGGTGGTATGATTTTCTTAGAATACAGCTTTTTACGATTTTCAGTTACTAAGCAGAGTTATATGTGTTTTTTCCAAACGAGTGCTCAGACATTAAAAATTTGGATTTGGGGAAAGGAATTACACTCTTACGAGAATAGTAATGATATCTGAAATTTTACGTAAGGCTTGTCAAGCTTGCAATCATTATGAATTTGTTTAAGGATTATTGTCAGAAAATTATTCTTTTAAAAATAATTTTAATAATCTAATTTATGCAAAATAATGGAAATGAATCCAAATCGAGTTATTCTTTTGTAATTATGATTTACATTTGTATATTTAAAAGTCGAAATGTAATTTATTTTGTTATGTTCCCAAGGTATACTTGCAATGAAATATAAAATTACCTAAAGAATGGCAATCTAATGTATTTACGACGACGTTAAAACAATTAAGACAATCATCAGATGGGTACTTTGTATCACATTTCACTTTTTTTAAAATTTTCATCGGTAATTTAATTATTAGACTATGGTTTAAACTACTGTAGCTATATTCGGTAAATTATTATGCCATCTATTAAATATTTTATATTGGTATATAATTAAATCACGCGATGAGCATTTAATAGCACTAAAGTACTAAAGTAGTGAATTATATAATATCCTTAACTCCGGTTTAGGTTAATATCCTAGACCTCATTGTATAAGTAAATTTTTTAAAGTACTTATCACGTAATATGTACATTTGCCGTCTAGGATAAGAGCTTGAACCTGAGGGTACATTTTAAAGACGACTCAGAATGTTCACGTGATTTATTGTACATATGGGACCTTTGCAATAGAAAGGGGGATAACTTTCGAAACAAATCAATTTTACTTTTTATATGTCAAACATGATTTTACTTTATTAAAAATTATTAAAAATTTTAATTACTAAATATTATAAATTTATTATTTTATTTTATTAAATATACAGTTAGACCTCCATAATCAGTTCCCTAAAATTGGTGATTGTTTAGAGGCGTGACTGTAAAAAGGTAACCTCTATACAATCACAATTATATTAAAAAATCATGTGCAGTGACTATATAAATACCATTATTAATGGAACAGTAGTTAATTTTTAAAATACTTTAAAATGTAACAATAGTCAATTTTAATAAATGTAATAATATTTAATTTTAGAACACTTTATTAAATGTAATGTAAAATTATAACATTATATAAATGCTATGTAAATTACATATTAATCAGCCGCTAAAAAAACTTATAATTTAAGCTTACTTTCAAGATTGCAACTCAAGTCTTTTAACCATTTTAAAATAATTGTTAAAGATTTTTATATCTTCTACAGAAAATTCATCTATTTGCTATTATTCAAAAAATGTAATCCATATTTGTAAGGTTTAAGAGTATCATTTAAAGATATTGGCATTTATTTTTTTTCAGAATCACTATTCTCTACCTTCATTACGCATTTCCTATTTAATAATATTTATAATATCACTTTCATTTAAGATATTTTTAGTAAAAATTTCCTCTAAGTCATTAAAGAAATCATTTAATATATCTATTAGTAAAGCTATTTAAGGGTTATCTATATCAAGTTCTTCTTCAATCATTCAATTAATATCTACTTCTTCATCAGTTTTTTCTTGTTAAATTTTAATTGTATCATCTATGTCTTCATTAGTTGAAGAAGGAAAGATTTCAGTTTTCTTCTAACAATTCTGAATCGTTTCTTCAGTTACACAATCCTATGCCTTTGCAATATAATTTATTACTTCTTAAATATTTATTTTCTCTTTATTAATATTTTTCTTATCTTTAAAAAGATCTAGTATATAATAACTTATTTCCTTTTAAAATAGCTTTTAAAATTTGCAATAATCCTAGTATCAAGTGATTGAAAATGACATGTTATATTTAAAGGTAAAAAAACTACTTTAATATAAGTTAGTTGTAAATCATACTCCTTTAATCTACTACTATAACCATTAATCTTTTGATTTACTACTGTAACTACTATAACTTCTTAAATTATTACCTACAAATTCAATTTCATGATCATCATCATTTTAACTATCCTGCTTATTTTTTAAAGTTGATAAACTATATGAATTTAAATGTAATAGAGTATTATTAATCAAGAATAAAATCTTTTTATCTTGTATTATAAAATAATTATCAATTTCACAAAGTACCTTTTAAAAATCAAAGAATTTATCCATGCTTTTAGATTTTTACAATAATAAACTAAAAGACATTCTAAATTAACCTTCAAAGTGATCTTAAAAATTTTGTATTACCAATTACCTATGACTTCAGCTTATCTATTTTTATTGAATTAGAACTAAGAAGTACAATGATTTTTAACTTATCTTTTTTCAACCAGGAACAGATTTAGTAAAAATAGTTTGACTAGAAGACATTTGATAATAAAGGCCTTTTTTAATAATAGTAAATTAAAATAAATATTTGTTTAGAAAATAAAAATATAAATAAAATATAAAGTTTTTTTTAAAACTTACTATTTAATCAATATTATAAATTCTTTTAAAAGTGTATTAACCTAAAATAAATTGTAATTTTGCTCATTTCTTCAGAAATGATACTAATGACATACTTTCTGACTTTTTATGTATATGATACTTATAAATATTATTATGTTTTTAAAGCTTATATAACTAACTTTAGAAAAAATATACTTATTATCTTATATATTGAATGTATTAGCAAAATATCTTACCTTTTTTTATTAATAAATCCATTAAAATAAACCTATTTGTTATTATATTTTCTACCTATAAATTCATAATATAATCAAACTCTAGAAAATTGATTCCTTTATATTTAAAAATCTTTTTAGAGCCTTCAATTTCTAATACAGAGATTTATTTTTTAATTTAAGCTAATATTTTAATATAGTGCTATGATCAATATTTAAAGCTGAATCTTTTTTGTTAAAATAAGCTACAACTTCTTGATAATTTTTATTATTATTTTTTGCCTATTCATAAATTTGCTATTTAAGATTAATACTTATGATTGAATGATACTACTCAGGTCTGTCAAGAAGTATTATAAAACTCATCAAATAAGACAGAAAAAATAAAGGTTATTTTAAAGAAGATTTTAAAAAAACTTTTTAATGATAAATACTATTAATATTATACTGATATTATGTGAAAAACTATCACTATAGAATGAACATAAAAAAATATAAAATTTAAGAAAATTGTTTTATTTTCTGAAATATTACAAATTATTGTTCTATTTTTAAGCTTTATTATAATATTTTATATAAATTACGTATTATATTTTTACTTGATACATTTTTATATTATATTTTATATATTATATTTTTTATAAAAAAAAATCAACCAATTATATTTCTTTAGTATAGGCTAATTGAAAAATTTGTAATTATAAAGATGTCTAATTACTAACAAAAATAATATATATATTATAAATATAAGTGATAGTAATTATAATCATTTTATAATTATATAAAGGTAATTTATTAATGTTAAAAACTGTTTTACAAAAATGAGT